GCCCTGTGCCGTGCTGGAATGCAAAGGAAAGTGTGGGGGATCTTTTCACTGGTAGGTTTGTAGTTTTTTGTCCTTTTTGTACTGCTTGGTTGTTTATCTGCTTCACGTCGGCCTAAGAGGAAATGTTTGTCACTGTTCAGTTTGGTTGTAATGGGGAAAACTTATAAGAGTGTTCTGCCTTGCCCACTTTGCACCAGAGAGGCTATTATGGCGGCTAGTGAGAAAAGACACCTTCTTCGCCTCTGTACAGATTTGGCACGAACCGGGGTGGGGGGTGGGATGGCAAACTTGCTACAGGTACATGGGGCCTCTGACTAGAGCGAGAGGGCAGGGAGATATGAAACCAGATCTTTCCTCTTTGTTTTCATTCACCGACTGCCTTAAGCCAGTGGGATTTTCCTCTGCTTTTGCTGCTTCAGGTTCTCTTTGTAGAGGATGTATTTTTTTGCTACATGGTTGTAGGAAAAGCCTTGCACAAAACTTGTATGCACCATGGGGAATGGGGGCATTATTATTATTATTATTATTATTATTATTATTATTATTATTATTTTATTTTACTTTTTACAAGGGTTTGGAAACCACAGAGCAGGATATATCAATGTAATTTTCATGCCTGTCAGAGTGCACATTTTGCACACAGATTCTCCAAGAGGAACACTCGACAGGATTCCCCATGCAGAAAAAGTATCATGCAGGAAGTGATCCTGTGCATGTTTACTCTGAAGTCAACAGTGTTGTGTTTTCATGGGACTTATTGCAGCTTTATCAGTGGGACTTTATTCCTAGCAAATATGCATAGGATTGCTCCAGATTGTGGCAGTTCTCTCTTCTTAACTATTGCGTGTTTAGCTATGTTAAATGTGTACAAATGTAACCTGTCCACCTGATCTGTGCTGGAGTAGTGTGTTTGGTTGTGGAAGCCACATATTAAGAAAGGTTTGGATAAACTAGAGAGGATTTAGAGGAGGGTGTAGTCTGGGAACCAAATCCTGAGGACCAACTGAAAAAGCTGAGTATGTTTAGCTTGGAGAAGGGAAGTTTAAGGGGAGATGTGATAGCTGTCTTCAAATATCTGAAGGCTGCCATGCAAGAATTCAAGCATACTTATTTCTCCTGTTGCCAGCCAGATGACAACTCCTGATTCCTGATTGTCTCTCCAAAATTATTGTTAGTTGAGGTTTCAGATTTATTTGCGCTTTTGGTTGTGGTTCCCAGTATCCTTTTCAGTATCAAGGGCATTCTTCTTGTAAACACCGGATCCAAGTCACTCTTCCTCACCATGTGTCGCTTGTGGTTTTTCAAAGTACATGATTTTCAAAGAAATATCAAAATCTTATCAGGCTTCCTTTCAAGCTAGTCACAAAGCAAGACTGCTTTTGTACCCTTTGCAGTGTTTTCAGGCTAAACATTGGGGTGTTGGGGTCAGACAGGACATTGAGTTCTGATACAAATAAGCAGCATGTTACGAATACGGCTGTTGTTTCTGCCTGACTGCACTGGAGATAAAGTCAAACTAAGGATACAAACAAGAAAAAATAATTCATTCGGCCGGGGGGGGGGGGGGAGGCACAGCCATATTTCTGTTGATTAGATTTATCTGTACATCCAATTGCGCCTCCTGATCTCATTTTTGCTACAAATGCAAATGAGCTGTGGGAAAATTTCTGGGGTAAGCTAGGTTGCTTTGAGTTGCCTTTGGCAAGAAAAAGCAGGCAAGAAAAATAAAAAATAAAAAGGAAGATTCCAAGGCCATCTCCCTGGGGAAGCCACTACCAAAAGACTTAGTAAGAATGCAAAGTAAAGCCCACCTCCCACTAAAATGGCCAGCCTGGGACCCAATGGTTGGGTGGCAATATGATTGGGTCAGGTCAGCGCTGGGCTCTTCTGAGCTCCTAGGGACCTTGGCCAGTGCATGAGTTGGCCACATGCTTTCAATAGGCCTGATTTGCATCTCTTAATGAACTCAAAAGACGAAACAAGTTAGGTATGAAGATGAGGACTGAGCGTGCTCTGTTGAGGGGGAGTGGAATGGAGTGTCCTGGAAGAGGGCATGACTGGATGGCTGGAAACAAGAACAGGAGCACCCCACACAGCAATGTTTTGTTGCAGGTCCCACTTGTAATCCACAATACCTAAGTGTGTAGAGAAACCCTATGGCAGAAATTAGGGCTATGCTCTCTCTGCAGTCCTGATGGCTCAGAGCAGAATCAGGCATGCTTAGGGTCAAACCACACATTTCATTGGAGTTCTGGGATTGGAACTCCTGATGGGTGGGGATTTGGTACAAGGCTAGGGTATGGAGACAAGGATTGGGCTTTCCTTTCCTCTGCACTCGAGCCCCAGTCTAAGTCCTCCATCACTCCCTGTTCACTGTCCTGTTCAGCTGATTTTTTATAGGGGCAGGCGATGAACGCATTTGGGAGTAGTTTAAGTTAAGGAATTTGTCGTTTGGCACTGAAAGGCACACAGGTGTTGCTTGGCTAAAGATGCTTCCAGGCTGCCGCTCTTTTGTAAGTGGGATCCAGTTACATCCCTGTAAATTCAGGTTGCGCAGTTAAAGTGGACTTGGAGCTCTTGCACAATAAAACCTCCAGACAACAAAAGCAAAACAAAACCAGACTTTTGACAGTAAGGACAGTGATGGAGAAAGGCCTTGGAAATTAGGAGATAACAATTGCCCAGTCCAATGCCATAGCACCTCTCTGCAAACAAATAATATAGCAATTCAGAATGAATTCTTGGCAAACAGCTAACACTGTGTAACCTCCCTATAAACTTTGTGCAAGCTCTTCAGGATAAATGCTCAATGAGTAGAATGCCTGGGAGTGACCGCAAGGCTCTTTCCTTTGCTTTCTGGTAGCATGTTCTACAACACAATGTGTGCTGCAGTGTGATCACTCCATACATGGCATGGGTTGTGGCATGCATTGTGATAAAGAGGGGTGGACCAGCTCCACCCTCATTCACACATACAAGTCCCTGGTGTCACAGTCCTTTCAAGCTGAACACACCTAATGAAAGACAGCTCAAAGGTTTTTTTTTAGAGGAATACTAGTTGCAAGTAGCTGGTGTGTCTTATTTTCACACGCAACCTCCTTTTGTGTAGAATGTGCATTTGATTTTTGGGCTTTTTGTTCCCCTATGAAGGAGAGGGCTGTAGCAGAGTTGTAGGACACCTGCTTTGGATGCAGAAGGCCCCAGCTTCAGTCTTTGACACTCCAAGACAAACTAGGATTCACTCCTGTGTGAAGTGAGGAGCAGCCGACGCTTAGTGTCACCCAGGGATGGGGAACCTGAATCCCTCTGGGCTCTATCTCCTTCCAGTGCCAGCCAACATGACCAATGGGATGACGGGAGTTGTAGTCCAACAACAGTATAGTTCAGCATTGTCGGTTGCAGCATTTGGCACTTTTTAAATTAAATTAAATTTTAAATTAAAAGCCAGAAAGTGGAAACATGATAGAAGTGTATAAAATTATGCACAGTGTCGATAAAGTGGGTGGGGGAACATTTCCCCCCTCTCATTACACTAGACTCCATGGACATCCAATGAAACGGAATGTTGGAGCATTCAGGACTGAGAAACCATTGAGCCTCTTGGGTTTGCCGATCAGAAGGTCAGTGGTTTGAATCCTCACGACGGGGTGAGCTCTGGTTGCTCTGTCCCAGCTCCTGCCAACTTAGCAGTTCAAAAGCACACCAATGCAAGTAAATAAATAGGTATTGCTGTGGCGAAAGGTAAACAGCATTTCCATGTACTCTGGCTTCCGTCATTGTGTTCTGTTGTGCCAGAAGCAGTTTAGTCATGTTGGCCATATGACCTGGAAAGCTGTCTGTGGACAAACCCCAGCTCCCTTGGCCTGAAAGCAAGATGAGTGCCGCAACCCCATAGTCACCTATTACTGGACTTAACAGTCCAGGGGGCATTTACCTTTACCTTTACTTTCTTCACACAGAGCAGACTTAAACTGTGGAACTTGCTTTCAATGATGGCCACCAACTTAGTAAAGGTAAAGGGACCCCTGACCATTAGGTCCAGTTGTGGCCGACTCTGGGGTTGCAGTGCTCATCTCACTTTATTAGCCAAGGGAACCAGCATACAGCTTCCGGGTCATGTGGCCAGCATGACTAAGCCGCTTCTGGCGAACCAGAGAAGCACATGGAAACACCGTTCACCTTCCCGCCGGAGCGGTACCTATTTATCTACTTGCACTTTGACGTGCTTTTGAACTGCTAGGTTGGCAGGAGCAGGGACTGAACAACGGGAACTCACCCCGTCGTCACTGGGATTCGAACTGCCGACCTTCTGATTGGCAAGCCCTAGGCTCTGTGGTTTAACCCACAGCGCCACCCGCATCCCTGGCCACCAACTTAGATGCCTTTAAAAGAGGATTAGACAAATTCATGGATAAGGCTATCTGTGGCTACTAGACTTAATGGCTGTGCTCTTCCTCCATGGTTAGAGGTGGCATACTTCAGAATACCAGTTGTCTGACTACTGTACACGCAGCACCCTTTCTATATTTAAACTATATGAGCATGCACAGAAGCATCACAAGGGAGAATCAAAGTCACTTTTATATGTGACAAATTCATGCATATTCTCAATCCTTCACTCTGTTATCGTTGGCTGTGTCCAAAGTCCCATGGACTCTGAATCCAGTGCGCTCCTGCTACTCCTTTGGGAAGTGGTGTGCACACACTGTTAGCTGTAATTCATATCTCTTCTGTTGCATCTTATGAAATACTGCATTTCCTCCAAAACCAGCTGTAGTTCAAATTGTGAAAAGAGTGACTTAGCTGCATTTTAAATGCCTGCACAGCCAGTGAGCTCAGCACATGCCTTTTGCCAACTCCTCCACATGATTCTCTCCCCCAACCCCGCCTTGCAAGGAATGCTCTTGTCTCCTGAGATGGCAGGAAAACTTGGACTGGGGTCATTTATTTGCTTTCTTTGGCTGCCAGATAACACTGGCTATTTCTCAAGTGTCCAGGGCAGGATAAATTCATTCTCTTGGGCTGGCACTTGTGAAGAGCAGGAGGAGACAGGCAGAAATCTGAATTACGCTGCGGCGTTCCCCCCACCCCCAATCTTTGGCTACGGGGAATTTTCATGGGATCTAAAACTCCCGTTTAATCAGGAGCCAAGAAGGGGGGCGGGAAGAAAGAAGAAAAAAAAGGAGAAAAAGAAAGAGAAAGAAAGGATAAGGGGGAGAGAAAATGGAGAAAAGAAAAAAGAAGAAAAGAAAAGAAAAAGTTTTGATTGCACTCAAAGAGAGGGAGAGCGAATAGCAGCCCCCACTCCCGGAGTGAGTTAGGGAGGCGTAGCCCGGGAGTCTGAAAGAAAGGGTTGGCACGCTGCTGCTTGCAAGGACAGCTGTACTCTTCTATGGACACCGTCAGGATGTGACATCACTAACGCGGAGAGAGAAAAAGCCCCGAAGTTTCTTTAATGAAAACTCCTCCAGCCAAGGTTCCTTGCGTGGGATCCTTCACTGCAGCGCTCTTGGTAAGCCGCGGGCACTTTTAAGGAGGGCGGCAGGGATCCTTCTCCTTGGCTCCAGAGGAAAGCAACTTTTATTCGGCTCGGCTGCGCAGGAGGCGGTGAGTATCTCTCCCTCCCCCTCTGCCCCGTTTCACAAAGAAGTTTGATCGGCGCGTGGCAAAGCTCCAGGCCAAGCCTCTCTCTTGGAACCTTTCGCAGCCCTGGAGTTTCTGAACTTTTCAACCCCGGTGAGTGGGGGAAATGGCTCGAGAAGGCGTTTGCAAATATTTGCAAGAGAGGCGCGCGGCTGCCGGAGGAGCTGGTTGCTGGCGAGAGAAACAAATGGGAGCAGAAAACATCCAGGAGCGAGTTTGTCAGCGCTATTCTGGGCGGGCGGGGCTGGGGGGGGAGCGCTTGTTGGCGCTGGAGGCCTGCCAGTTGCCGCTTGGCAACGGCACCAAGGAAACGGGAGAGCGCAGTGCCCGACCATCCTGGTAGGTAGACGGGCTGAATCAGCGCGTAATGGTGTGGACTGAGAACTGGTGCCTCTGCGTTTGAGGCAGAGAATAGGCTGGCTGAGATGGCACGCTGTGACTGTGTGCCCCCTGGATTTATAACTTCCTAATCTCCTGTCACTATTCTCAAGGTTTTCTTTAAATTATTTTATTTCATGGAATTTATGCAGGCAACTATTATGTCAGGGTTATGTTCCAGAGATTGTGCCAAAATTGTGCATAGTCAAAACACATTAGGTGGGTGGGATTGCCAAAGCCCCCCCCCATGTCTGTCCTCTTTTTGCCACCATATATTTATCCAAGGGCATGAAGCTAAACGCACACGAGTTTAATGTGTGCAAGTTGCAAGTTATCTGTACACTGCTTTCAAAACAAAACTAAAAAAGTTAATATAATAAAATTATCACTAAGGAAAAGTAACTGCAATAATTTAAGACTTTAGAAAAGTTAACAATAAGAAAGTTATTTTCTAAACAGCCGGTAGGCTTGTCTAAACAAAAATGTTTTTAACAACAGCCAGAAAGAATTCAGCAAAGACACCTGCCTGATATGAATAGTGCTGTTGCTGCACCACTAAAATATCAAGTTCTTACAAATTCAGAGTGGGTATTATGTGGCCCCTGTAACACTGCCAGTTCAGGCTTCAGGGATGTCGTGAATTTGCTAAAGTGCTGCAGCAGACACTTCAAACGGTCTTCCCTAACCTGGTGCCAACCAGATGCGTGGCCAATAATCAGGGGTGGCAAGTGTAGTCCAACAACATCTTGAGGGCATCAGGTTGGGCAAAGCAAAGGTAGGCCACACCTGGGAGGGGAGGTGCGTTGTGCGTGCCTTTGTTCACCTCTTCCCTGGTCCCCATAACTGTGAGGCTGGTGAAGGTGGCAAAAATCTATCCTAGCAAAGGTTCTTCTACCTTTCGCTGACCTATTGCTCCTGTATGCCAGGGCTCAATCCCTGAATCTTTTTCGTATACCGTGGCTAAGACCTACCATAACAGTGCCTCTGGTCATGTGCAGAATTTCTTACTATTGGGGAATCAGAGCCCGCTGTTGGCATCTGTTTTCAGAAAAAAATAAGAGAGCTGCCTCCTGTGTTGTTTTTGCTGAGTTACTAGCACCGAAGTGACCTATTTAGGGTGCAAGCCTGGGCAGTGTGCATGGAGGTCATGGGCTGCCTGGATGAGAAGACCCCCCCCCCAGCCTCACTGATGTGGTCCATTGGAAAGCAGAACAATACTTTTGGCATCAGCTTGGTGGAAGGAAGTATATAGTGGTACCTCAGGTTACATACGCTTCAGGTTACATATGCTTCAGGTTACAGACTCCACTAACCCAGAAATATTACCTCAGGTTAAGAACTTTGCTTCAGGATGAGAACAGAAATCGTGCAGCAGTGGCGTAGCGGCAGCAGGAGGCACCATTAGCTAAAGTGGTGCTTCAGGTTAAGAACAGTTTCAGGTTAAGAACGGACCTCCAGAACGAATTAAGTACTTAACCCGAGGTACCACTGTACAAGACACCATCCAACTGTCTTAGAACTGTTACAGTGGGGGGGGGGACTTCAGTGCCACCCCCCCCATATCATTTTCCTGCTGATAACCCAAAGCTGCTATTTGCTTGTTAGGGAAAGCACACATGAAACCAAATTTTCCCAGGACAGCTGATTGTGAACAGCTCCGCCTTAGTTCCAGTGTCAGAACCATCTGGGAGCCAAATCCAAACATGAAGGCCACGACAAAGGTGTTTTCAACACTCTCTGTCCATTTGCTGTGGGGCTCTCTCACAGCTTTGCTCTTTGCCATGAATAACTGTATTTTCCTGCAGTTCCTTTTTCAAGACTTCCTGTCAGGCAAGTATACTCTGCAATCTCTCTATGTCTCTGTTTTTCTCCCTCCCTCCTCTCTCTCTCTCTCTCTCTCTCTCTCTCTCTCTCACACACACACACACACACACACACACACACACCAGCCAATGACCTCTTTTTACAGCCATTTCCTTGGAATCAAACTCTGGAATTTTCCATAATATTTAGATAGCTGAAAAGGTGGTCTCTGGAAAGCAAATGCTTGAGCGTGAGTTTTATATCATGAATAGTTCTGAACTGCCCTGTGATCTTCAGGTGAAGGGCAGTATACAAAATTAATTAATAAGAATTCAGGGGAACACTTGGAATCCCTCAATCCTCTGCTACATCCTCATTTGTCAATATTTATATCGAAGATTTGCTAAATATTCAATGTTAATATATTTTATTTCTGTATAGAATAGTCAGTTTCAACATTTGAGAGCCATTGGCAATTGATAGTTAAAGAGCAGAATAGTTATGTGTAGTCGTATTAAATAGCTGATGTTAATACAGTATCTGAGAACTTTTTGGAGCTCGGTATTCCACAGATGTTGTTTGATCTTTGGAGCTGGACAGTATTTGATCAGCAACTCTATTTGACATTATGCTCTTAGGACTTGATATTTGTCTTCTGGAATCTTTCATGCCTTGGACCTTTACTGCTAAAGGCATTAATCTTACAACAAGCCTTCTAAAATCTATATCCCAGTTGAATTTGAATTGATTTTGTGTGTGTGCTGTTGCTTCCAACTGTTTTTATATTTATAATTTTAAAAATCTGTCTAATACCGAGTCGGACCATTGGCCTATCTAGCTCAGTATTGCCAACACTGGCTGGCAGTGGCTCTCCAGGGTTTCAGACTAAGTGTCTTTCCCAACTTACCTGGAGATGCCAGGGATTGAACCTGGGACCTTTGGCATGCAAAGCAGATGTTTTATCACTGAGCTATGGACCTTCTCCTAGCCTTACCATTCCTGATTACACAGAAGGCCTGTTCTTTTTAAGGGAGCAGTTACCAAGTGATAAGCTTTTATCATTTGACATGCCTTTTCTCTATTCATGGGAACAGAATTAACGTGAGAAGAAAACCATTGCAGCTCACTTGTATTAGCAGTTTTTTACTCAGTCCAATTAGATGGAAGTTGGTGTATGATAAAAGATGGCTGTGTGAATTCTGCCCTTAATCCGCTTGCCCGGAATCTATAAAAATCCATCTAATGCTCCCATGTCAGCCAGATGTTTATGGAAGGGAGAGCTGCACATAAGACTTGTGAACTAGATAAAGTGCACACCTCAGCAAATGTCTGTAAAAGAGATGGATGTGCAGTGCAGTGACCATGAACAATGTGCTGCTATCTGCCTGGCAGATAAAGTGAAGGCAGAGCCAGTTTCTCAACAGCAGATTGCCCATAGGCATTGGGGGCATTTTCTTCAGTCTACATGCAAATATTAAAATACTTGATAAAGTCAAGGATAAGGTCAGGAGATGGGAATCACCCGTCAGATTAGCAGTCTATCATTTACCCCAGTAGCTTGTGCTGAAAGTAGCCCAATCTTAATGTCTCAACTTGTTTTACTACAGACTAACTGCAGTGCCCCAAACAGGTTTCAAATTGTTTTTACACCATACTGTATTGGTATACTCGTTTTTTGCTGTGTGCTCCCATCCTGCTTTGGGGTTCAAGTACAAGGCAAATCCTAACGATTAAAATGGATGCCCGGTATGCATTCCACACAGGTATGCATGGGCCTTGACTATAACAACTCTGTATATCATTACAATTAGTAGTCTGATATGATTACATCCTATTAATCATTATTCTTGCTTCATCAGATGGCAAAGATGAATTCAAGTTCCCCAGTATTTTATATTTTTAGATGTCTAGAATTGTAGGAAACAATCTGGTATTGCTTAAATGCATACTCCTATTGAAATTTTATTAACATTAATCAATTGTTATTATACCAAGTAACACCTTTTTTGCGTGTGTTGGGGTAGCAAATGAAGCAATCGGTGTTTCAATGTTAAGGAGATGGGGGCTGTCAAAGCATGGTCCAGAGTGGTCCAGCTTTACTGATTGACAACCTTCTTTACTGACCTTGTGAATTCAGACTTGCTGGGAGCAACATGGTTTGTCCACCTCTGTGATATGGAAGCCAAGTGATAGGTCTTTAGGTCCTACAGGCTGGCTGTAGAACAGAACCATGCCACAAGGCCCACAATTGGGCACTATCCAGCCCAGAGTCAGCCCTGTCTGGAATCTCCAGATACCAAAAAACAACAACAAAAACACACCTTCTCTAAAACTCTTGAGAGACACTGCCAGTCCGTGCAGACCAGGGTTACGCAATGTGGTAGCCTCCAGAGGTTCTTGCTCTACAACTTCCTTCAGCCCCAGGAGAGATGATGGGTGTTCTATAGTCAAACAACATCTAGATGTTGTCTGTCTCTGATTGAGACAATCCTGAGCTACATGGAAGAATCGTCTGACTGGCTGTGTTCTGAAGTACTGTGATGAATAGTGAAATTTGATGAGTGTGCCTAATTTTATCTGGGCCTGCCATTCTAAGACAGTGCTCCTAGTCACATTTACCAGGAAGTAAGATCCACTGAAGGCTGAACAACTTACTTACGGCTACTCATTCAAAGAGTTAATCTACTTCTACTTTCTGCAGAGTTTGGAATGTTACAGTGATGACTGGAAAGGGGATTGAGAGTGTGCATCTGAGAAATTACAGGGGAAGTGGACAGTTAACG